TAACTCAAAGTTTTCTAAAGAAAATTGTGATAACTTTTTCAGTAAAATTACAGAATTCAAAAAGACAATAGATTATTCTTTTAAACAGTATATGGACGATGGACTAAAAATTGAAGAATTAGATAGTGCATTACTGCAAATGTCTGGTGGCAAATCACCAGGGCTGGATGGTTTAACCAGAGAGTTTTATAAATGTTTTTGGTCAGATGTGCGAGAAATGCTTTATAAGGCGTTCACAGATTGCATTTCAGCAGGAAACCTTTCGCCAACCATGAAACATGGCCTTATTACCTTAATTCCAAAACCAAATAAAAATAATCTTTTGTTGGATAATTGGAGACCTATTACCCTGTTATGTAATGATTACAAACTTTTAGCACATGTTTATGCTAACAGGTTAAACTCGGGTCTGAATCAACTAATAGATGAATGTCAATCAGCCTTTATAAAGGGCAGAAGTATTCATAACCATACCAGACTGATATTGGATATGCTTGATTACCAGGAGTTTATTGATACTGAAGGTCTCGTACTATTTCTGGATTTTTACAAGGCTTTTGATACTGTTGAACATTCCTTTTTAATGGAAACTCTGACATTTCTGGGTTTTGGTGAACATTTCTGCAACATAATTAGGATGCTCTACTCGGACATTTATAGTTCTGTATCTTTGAACCCTGGAATGAGCCCTAGGTTTAAGGTTTTACGTGGTATTCGACAGGGTTGCCCTATTTCCCCCAAATTATTTATTCTGACCACCCAAGTATTAACAACGCTTATTATAAAGAATCACAAAATATTAGGCATTACCCTCTTTGACAAAGAGTTCAAAATTAGTCAATTTGCGGATGACACATCCATTTTCCTAAAGAATAAATCCATGGTAAAGGAAACTCTTAACACAATTTCAATTTTTTCAAAAGCCTCAGGGTTATCTCTTAATCTTTCAAAATGTGAATGACTCCCTATCCATTCATGTGATGATTCCACTATTGACTCTATTAGAGTGGTACCTGAGGTGAAATATTTGGGAATAACATTATCTAAAAATTATATCAGGAGAGAAGATCTTAATATTTGTAACCGTATCACAGATATGAAGAAATCTCTCAGTCGTTGGTTAACTAGAGATCTTACTCTTTTTGGCAGAGTTCTTCTTACTAAAGCAGAAGGTATATCTAAACTTATTTATCCATGCCACTCATGTTTTGTCTCTTCGGCTAATATAAAAAAAGCCAACTCAATTATTTTCCAATTCTTGTGGAGAAATAAAACTCACTACATTAAAAAGTCACAGCTTGTTAAAGAATATGATAAAGGCGGAATTAAAGCTTTAGACTTTGAATCGATGTTTGGAACAATTAAAATAAAATGGTTGAAAGCCTTTTTGTCCCAGCCAGAATCCATGTGGTTCCATATTCCAAAGGCCATATTTAAACGTCTAGGAGGGTTTGATTTTCTTTTAAAATGTGATTTTGAGGTTAATAAGATTCCGACCAAATTGTCAAATTTTCATAAGCAGATACTTCATTATTGGAAGATGATATTTACCCACAGTTTTTCTCCTCATGGATCTACGTTATGGAACAATAGAGTGATTATCATAAACAGAAAATCCTTGTTTAGGAGTGATTGGCATGAGAGGGGTATTTTGTTTGTTAGAGATTTACTAGATTGCAATGGTAAACTGCTCGATGTTTTGGCCTTTTCAACGAAATACAATATAACGTGTACTGCTAAAGATTATAACAAAATCTGTAAAGCAATTCCTGTACCACTTATTGGAATGATTCATAATACTTTACTGTACTCAAATGTTGTATCAGTTTTACCTAATTTGGAAATTATTGGCGATACTCTTAAGAATAACAAATCTATTAATGCTTCCCTGAAATCCCACATTTTTCACAATTTGAACAGAGGCTTATTTCCTCAAGTGACCGATTTAGACACTTTATCTGTAATGGAAAAAGCTCTATCTGATTTTATAAAATGGCCTATTTCCCCTAAAGCAAAAGAAACTCATTTTAAAATTGTTCATAAAATCTACCCGGTTTCTACTTTTTTAAATTCAAGATTTAAATTTGAAGTGGAACCATGTTCCTTTTGTAATTTATCTGATGAATCGTTGGAACATTTATTTTTCTCTTGCCCCTTTTCTGAATTGTTTTGGTCGAATGTGAGAGATTGGTTGTTACTTAAATTAACAAATATTCCGGCCTTCAAAATATATCACATTTTATATTATATTGATAATTTGGACTCTCCCATTTCTGATTTGGTAAATATAATTATTATTTTGGGTAAATACCATTTACATTGTAGTAAATGGAGAGGAGGCAAGCCCTCCTTTCCCTGTTTCATAAATGAGTTCAAGTCCTTTTTTCTGTCCCTTAGAAAAATACAATCTTGTAACCTGTCTATAAAGATTTGCAATGACATTTCCAAATGGTTATTATTTTAAGTAAGCTTAATGCCTCTTAAATGTTTTTGTGCCTTTATGCTTTTTTCTTTCCCCCTGGCTCTTACTGGATGTATTAGTTATGTTTTTTTGTCTTATTGTGAATGAATGTCTTGAACTTATGTTGATAAGTTGATGATATCCTCACCGAGCTTTTGTATGTTTAAAAAAATGTTCAATAAAAAAAAAAAAAAAAAAACACACAGCTGGGAGACCAGGGGACACTAAAGGGTGACGCACACAGCTGGGAGACCAGGGGACACTAAAGGGTGACGCACACAGCTGGGAGACCAGGGGGCACTAAAGAGTGACGCACACAGCTGGGAGACCAGGGGACACTAAAGAGTGACGCACACAGCTGGGAGACCAGGGGACACTAAAGAGTGACGCACACAGCTGGGAGACCAGGGGACACTAAAGAGTGACGCACACAGCTGGGAGACCAGGGGACACTATAGAGTGACGCACACAGCTGGGAGACCAGGGGACACTAAAGGGTGACGCACACAGCTGGGAGACCAGGGGGCACTAAAGAGTGACGCACACAGCTGGGAGACCAGGGGACACTAAAGAGTGACGCACACAGCTGGGAGACCAGGGGACACTAAAGAGTGACGCACACAGCTGGGAGACCAGGGGACACTAAAGAGTGACGCACACAGCTGGGAGACCAGGGGACACTAAAGAGTGACGCACACAGCTGGGAGACCAGGGGACACTAAAGAGTGACGCACACAGCTGGGAGACCAGGGGACACTAAAGAGTGACACACACAGCTGGGAGACCAGGGGACACTAAAGAGTGACGCACACAGCTGGGAGACCAGGGGACACTAAAGAGTGACGCACACAGCTGGGAGACTAGTCTCAGGTGAGTCTCAGGTGAGTCTCAGGTTGGTCTCAGGTGAGTCTCAGGTTGGTCTCAGGTGAGTCTCAGGTTGGTCTCAGGTTAGTCTCAGGTTAGTCTCAGGTTGGTCTCAGGTAAGTCTCAGGTGAGTCTCAGGTTGGTCTCAGGTTAGTCTCAGGTTAGTCTCAGGTTGGTCTCAGGTTAGTCTCAGGTTGGTCTCAAGTTGGTGTCAGGTTAGTCTCAGGTTAGTCTCAGGTTAGTCTCAGGTTGGTCTCAGGTTAGTCTCAGGTTGGTCTCAGGTTAGTCTCAGGTTAGTCTCAGGTTGGTCTCAAGTTGGTGTCAGGTTAGTCTCAGGTTAGTCTCAGGTGAGTCTCAGGTGAGTCTCAGGTTGGTCTCAGGTTGGTCTCAGGTGAGTCTCAAGTTGGTGTCAGGTTAGTCTCAGGTTGGTCTCAAGTTGGTGTCAGGTTAGTCTCAGGTTAGTCTCAGGTTGGTCTCAAGTTGGTGTCAGGTTAGTCTCAGGTTGGTCTCAGGTTAGTCTCAGGTTGGTCTCAAGTTGGTGTCAGGTTAGTCTCAGGTTAGTCTCAGGTTAGTCTCAGGTTGGTCTCAGGTTAGTCTCAGGTTGGTCTCAAGTTGGTGTCAGGTTAGTCTCAGGTTAGTCTCAGGTTGGTCTCAGGTTAGTCTCAGGTTAGTCTCAGGTTGGTCTCAGGTTGGTCTCAAGTTGGTGTCAGGTTAGTCTCAGGTTAGTCTCAGGTTGGTCTCAAGTTGGTGTCAGGTTAGTCTCAGGTTAGTCTCAGGTTGGTCTCAGGTTAGTCTCAGGTTGGTCTCAGGTTAGTCTCAGGTTGGTCTCAAGTTGGTGTCAGGTTAGTCTCAGGTTAGTCTCAGGTTGGTCTCAAGTTAATCTCAGGTTGGTCTCAGGTTGGTCTCAGGTTGGTCTCAGGTTGGTCTCAGGTTGGTCTCAAGTTGGTCTCAGGTTGGTCTCAGGTTGGTCTCAAGTTGGTCTCAGGTTGGTCTCAGGTTGGTCTCAGGTTGGTCTCAGGTTGGTCTCAGGTTGGTCTCAAGTTGGTCTCAGGTTGGTCTCAGGTTGGTCTCAGGTTGGTCTCAGGTTGGTCTCACCTGTGCAGGTGCGGTTGTCGGCGTGCAGCTGGTAACCGTAGCGACAGGAGCAGTAGAACCCCCCGATGAAGTTGTGACAGAAATGATCGCAGAGGAGATCCTCGTCAGCAGCAACGCACTCATCCACATCTGCAGGGAGACAGGTAAACAACAACAACACTTTAATAACAACAACAACAACACATTATAATAACAACAACACATTATGATAACAACAACACATTCATAATAATAACAACAACACATTAATAATAATAATAAACTACAGTGAATTATATTTAAAGTGGAGGGCTGTGCAAAATGCAGTCAGAGAAGGTCTGGGGTCTCCTGGAGAGTAAACAAAGTGATGAACAGAGAGACCAATGAGGGTCTCCTGGAGAGTAAACAAAGTGATGAACAGAGAGACCAATGAGGGTCTCCTGGAGAGTAAACAAAGTGATGAACAGAGAGACCAATGAGGGTCTCCTGGAGAGTAAACAAAGTGATGAACAGAGAGACCAATGAGGGTCTCCTGGAGAGTAAACAAAGTGATGAACAGAGAGACCAATGAGGGTCTCCTGGAGTAGTAAACAAAGTGATG